CATCTCGTATTTCTGCAGTCGCCGACGGTGGCCAGATAACTGTGTCTGCTGATTTCATATCTGAAATTCAGCGTTGCCTCGAGACGTATCAAGAAGCCGAGCGATTGGGTTCCCTGGGCTCGGACGATACTTTCGACGATGACGCAACCGCTGAGAAGATTAGGAGGGAATTGAAGTCACTCAGCTCACAAGGTTTCGAAGTGAAGGAAATGGGTGAGAAGAAACTCAAGGGCCTCGAAAACCCCGAGTACATCTACTCCCTTTACCCTCACTCCCTTGCCGGTCGAATCGAATACCACAATAGCCCTCCAACGACAGAAGTTGCTGACAAGCCTGCTACCCTCGCGTCGGAGAGCGAACTTGGCTTCGACCCAGAGACGATTTGGTCTCTGTGGAAAGTTAGCTTGCGCCTGGAGATGCTTTGCAGTTCCTTGGAAGAGATGTCTGGTAGGGGCTTGCAGCCTCCTGAGACAGAGCTGCTCGAGCGCATGAAGCAACGTGGGGGCGAGATGACAGAACGCTTTATCTTCAATTTTATGGAGCATCAAGTCAGCCGTATAGAGGTAAGTTCTATTTGTCCCATGCCATTAAATCCTGTGGAGTCTTGCTAACATTAAGATAGACTTGCGTAACTAGTCTCGCAATGCGACACATCGCTATAGGTGGTGGTCTCATTACTCAACTTGATGACCTGCGTACCCCGATGACAGTAATTCTCGACAATCTTGCTGTCCAGATGGCTGAGCTTGAAAGATACAAAGCCAAATATGGCCCCCTTACTGGTTCCGTGGATTCGGGAAGCAGTAGCAGCTACATAACCGAGGAAGAATGAGCGCAATCACTTGTGTTTTTTTTCATTCCATCTTCATCTTCTTAAAAACCCCTGAAGGTATTTCCGGTATATTATATCGACTCTGCAAATTGGCCTGGAGCATTCTGGTTACACTTCTTCCTCGACAAAGCAATAGAACAGGGAGCGGCATCTGCTATATAACTAGCCACTTCATAATGTGCTACGACAAAGATCCATTCTTTTCGGCGCCCTCAGAGGCGTAGTAGCCATCTTGGAAAACCCCTGGTGGTGAAATGGGAGCAAAACGGTGTCCTATGAGCAAGCATTCTAGGACGATTAAAAAAAAGAAAAGGGAAAAGCGGCCTACTCTTTAGAGAAATTTGTTTTGTTTTATGAATTTTCCCTTTCTCGTGCATTACTTTTTTTTTCCTATCTCATTACTCGTATACTTACACTCAAGGGTCTGGGAATACTACTACACCTCCGCACTGGGGTATGGATTGGGTTAGGCATGCACACGCAGACAAGAACACTATTACTGCTACTACATATTACTATTACTACTATTACCGTTATTACATTGTACCGCAGTTACAGTCTGCATAGGGCGTTTTTTTCTCTTTCTCTTGGGTCAAGAAACTGATTAGGGGTAAGGAGACTCGTGGCAGGTACTCTTTTTGTCGTCATTACCGTGGTTGTCGTTATCGTGCAGGCTTTATCTATTTAATCCCCAATCTCCGGCAGCGACCACGCTCGTCAAACAAATGGGGAGGAGGAAGGGAGGAAGGATCGAATCAAACTGGATTATAATGGATTACAGGCGACTTCGAAGGATAAAGGAGGTAAAGGGGGGGGAGGGGCTGGTGTAAAGATGGAAAGGAGAAGGAATTGGTTGGTAGAAATATTATTACTCGGGACTGAACTCTACATATATATATAAATATATATATGGGTATAGGTTATTAGGCTGGTGGAAATAGGACTTGGGATAGGTACTTAAAGAAAACCCCTTTTGTTACTGTGTAGCTAAAATTCTCGTGTCAATGCCGATTTTTGTGATTGCTTCTTTTGCTCCCACGCGACCTACCCACCCGCTCTTTTAACTAGAACTTTTCTGTTACAAACCACTGTTGAGCATAATGGTATCCAGTGATGGATGGATAGATAGATAGAGATATCTTGAAATAGAACATTATATTTCTAATATCTTCGCCCAGAATTATGCAACTTGACCAGCGAGAATACCAGATTCAAGTACCTCCCTAGATCAGAAATTATTACTTTTATAGCTTATTCATGGACTTCAGTCCAATTCACAACACAGGATAATCAGAGGGAGGCTCCATGTCAAAAATGACTGGGTTGTCTATATAGGTTATGCATTACGATCCCTTCTTTACTATGGTATACGTCCCTCCCTCGCCCCCCCCTTTCTCCCATTCCCTTCTTTTCCCTGGCGGAAAGTAAAGTTAACATGCTCAGCGAGAAGCACCTACCGGGTTAACGCCCGCAAGTGTCTTGGCCCCGGCCCCGGCCTCGTCGAACACGGCGTTCGCGCAGTTGGCCTGCAGCGAGGCGTACGCGCTCACGTCGACGCAGGACTGTGAGGAGGTCGCCACGGCGGAGGCGCTGCCGAAGCAGACGTGGTTGGTGTAGAGGTTGACTTTTTTTTTTGGAGGGGGAGGGAGGGAGGAAAATTGGTTAGCGGGCTGGCTTACGAATATGGTGCTTTATCTGTTGTTGTTGTTTTTTTTTTTGGAGGGGGATAGGAGAGGGAGTAGGGAGTAGGGGGCAAGGGTGGGGGAGAGAGAAAAGGGGAGAAGGGGGTAAGGTGAACTAACTGGCACAGTTGAGCTCCGGGTTGTCGACTAGGTACTCTATCTTCATCCCCCGCCTGTGTGTGCCGGAGTAGTCGTCGATGCTCGCGCATTTCCCCGGCACCGCGATCTGCTTGGAGGAGCCTGCTGCATCCGCGCAACCCGCGTCCAGAGAAAAGGAGACTTACGGCGGGACGAGGTGGAGCGAGGTGCTGTTGGTGAAGGAGTAAGGCGGTGCTGGTGCGGCTGATACCGAGGCGGAGGCTAAGGCGAGAATAAGGGCGATGCTGGTTCGTGGGAAGTACATTATTGTGTTGTTGAGTGCTTTGTGTGAGGTTTATAGATAGGGGGATATCGTTGGCGTGGCTTCGTGAGGGTTGGGGATGGAGCGTGGAGTTACGATTAAGATTATTAGATAGGTAAAATGATAGAAATATGTAGTGTTAGTTCAGGTTTAAGGTGAGATTTATTATGTGAAGGGATATTTCACCAGATATCTATATATTTATTTAATTCCAGCCGTGATGCTCGTCAACGAGGCTTTATAGCTAAGCTGCATATCGGGTATGTGGCTGCTGTCGATCAACTCACCCGCTTATACAGCTCATCGATTACCCCTATTAATTATATGACTATACGTTGTAGATCTTTGGCAACTCGATGTAAGAATTTATGGCAAGCAGCGGTATTCGTTCGCATACAAGATAGCCTTCAGGGAGTAAAGATGATGGATATGACGCCGGCCCCTAAAAGTCAAGCGAGAGTCGTACGGTATATTCAAATTTCCTCAAACCCATTCGGAGATACTCACTATGGAATTGTCCTTTTAATACCTGCTTATTATTGGTCCATATTGCATAGTAAACCGTGTTGTAGTCCATAATGGGCTTTTGGGGCGGAGATGAAGACTTCAATAGAATACACACTTGCTTTGAAATATCACTTGAATGGTCTGAGAGTTGTAGCTTTATAAGTGAGACAGGTGCGTAGATCCGACGCCACGAACCGAGCAGACGATCGTACTTGCATGAATCCATGAATCTATCACTCTCATATTCGGTGCTCTTATACAGAATGAGGAATTTCCCTAAACAGCAGGCATAGAAATCTAGTTATATCGATCAGTATAGTATGGGGATGGGCTGGTGATATTATTCAAAAGCAGGGCTAGTGTCTTTAGGAGCATAATACAACACAACACCTTCACTTCGCATATCTATGATTATGAAAACCATGGGATTTCTCAAGACCCCATGTTTATCGCCGGAAATAATCAGAGGCATTTTAAATTAAGGTCTTCAGCCCATGTTAGGATTGGGTCGAACGTCAATATGCCGGGCTATGTGCCGCACTCGCAGGGGGCTTTCCGGGTATCTCGTTCGCACATATCTATACAGTATCAAAATCAATAGTACTTCACAATAATAGACTCCGGAGTCCTGTACGAGGATAGCTGCGTTTGTCCCAGGAAGGTGTCCCCTGCCATCTATTACATATGTCTGCCCCAGTAGCCAGCTCTCTTGTTAGAAATCTCATATTCCCCAACCAAGACTATGAGCAATATCATGAACAAGCACTAGGGAAAAGAGGGCGTGAAGGTAATTCTCATTTAAGCATTGATTGTGTCGATTTATATCAGCACCAGCAGTGAGCATATTCATTACCATCCCGTTTATTTCTACAGGTTTGTCGAATATGGTCTTCTGATATTAGCCAGGTAAACTGACTTGCTTACCCTATCTGTATTTGCCGTTATGTGCCTTGCTATTATTCTGTGATATCTCAATAAAAACTATAAATTCATCATAGGTTGGGTAATATGATGCGTTGTTGGATAGAATACCTTGATGGCGGCCAAGGCTACAAACTAGAGTGAACAGGAGAAGCTATTGTACTTAGTACCATGACCAATAATGACAATGGCAAGGTTAACAAGGCAGAACACGAAGTTCTGTTTCCAATAATTTAAACCTGATGGCTAGCAAAACTGAGGATATGATGAAAAGGAAAACAAGGAAGATTGATAATAGCAGATGGCTTTTGTGTGTCCTGACAATACCCCTATTTCTTTAGCAAGCCAAACATTTTTAGAGAAATACTTACTAGTTACATATAAATAATGGTGATAGTGGTATAATGTTGAATATTTCTTGTAAGGAGACATCATCTCTATACAGTATGTTTTTTATGCTTGCAATGTGCTAAGCCAAATATGGATCATGGTAATAGGACTATCGTGAAGAGAATATAGTATTATCGAAATCATATTCCTTATATATATATGCACATGCTAGTGTCAAGCATGGAATCGAACTATGAACCTCTAGGTACTGAAAGACGTAGGGATAAACAAAAAAAAAAGAAAAGAAAAGAAAAAGGGAAGGGGTGAATGCGCACGCCGGGATTTGCACCCGGGTCTCCTCCTATCGCCGCTACACCAACCAGCCGAAGACGGTGATTGTGTTTTGGGAGGGAGGCAGGTTAACTTCTACCCCACGTGTGCTTCTTTTGGAAGGGACATTGTTATTAGGCCCTATATGTGCTTTGTTCCTCATCATTGTGGGAAAACTAAGTAGTTTCCCCGGCTGCCCCGGTTGCTCCGGAGAAGAGAGATATATACATAGGTTGCTACTTAGGAAGGAACACGGAGGACACCCGGCCCTGGCACCATGAGTTGCACTTGCCCTCTTGCCCTTTTTAATGAATACATGTTTGCTTTTATTCTATTGTTGATTTTTATTGTTGTTTTGTATTGTTGATTTGTACCTAGGTATTGTTTGCCATCAGCATTTATTTCCACCACTCTTCCTGCACCTGCTTTCTCTCTCCCCTCTTCCCTTTTTCTTTTTCCACGCAACTTCTTGGTGCATGATCATTGCTTGTTGGTATTCTTCACGCAAGCAAGTTGCACCACCTGCACTGGCTTGTGTGAATCCTAGTCAACTATCTAGTTCTACTACAGTACACCAGTCACCAGACCTGTTGTTCCCTCTTTCTTGTTCATCACCAACCATTCACAATGCCGCGTGATGAGGTTTTAATTGTTGATAACATCACTGAATGTATTGAAGAGAGCAACCGAACTGGCGTCCCTATCTACACAATACTGAAGCGGAAAAGGAAAGAAGAGTCTGAGGACGAAGGAGCTGCAACTCCTAAGAGACCTGCCAATTCTGCTACAGGATTGCACCCGGAACCAAAGCCCAATCCAAGTCTGAGGTTTGTACCATCTTTCAGAATCTAGATTGATCTTACTAATAGTTGAAGTAGTGCTGCTTCTGATAGCAAAATGGAGTCTGGTCCCACCAACATGGCAAAGAACGAGCAAAACACGAAGGATGCTGGTGATGCCAAAGAAGCCCAAGTCGCCGATGCTGCCAAAGTCACCAGTAATGCTCAGGAAACCGCTGATGGTGCTAAGCCTTCCGACAAGACCACAGTCACCGACACTGCCAAAAATGACAGTTATGCACAGCACCGTACTATGGTCATCAACGTCCTCAGATCAAAGGAAAAGACGATCGCTGACCAAAAAGCCGAGCTCGATATGCTCAAGGCTAAGCTTGAGGAGATCTACCGCGGGAATGGCCCCGTCTTTGAACTCAACAGTGCCGTCCAAGAGTATGTGAAGGAGCTCCGAGGTCTGAAGGACAAGCTTGATCAGATGGCCATGCAACTAGAGGTTCTGAGCTGGAGAGCCAAGATGCTGCTGCCGCCCAATGCTCTGCAGCTACCGCCGAGAGGAGGACTCTGCTAAGTGGGTGCTTTGCTAGCTTACGGGCATAGCTATACAGGGCAAGTCTATGATCGCCGAGAAAATGGAGGGAACTTGCTGTTGGTATGAGCAACATCATTTCATGTAATTATAGTTGACACTCGCGCCAAAAAAAAAAAAAGACAACAACATTGTCATAACCTAAGTTTATACTAGATGCCTCGTGATATACCTGTTGGTGACTTGGAACTAGACCATAATTAATGATAAACAAATAAAAGGTCCATTTGTATGTGAGCAACTTTGTTTTACCTCATGGAAGGGAGACCCATGATGTCCATGAGGTTTTGACATTGCCCCCCTAAGGTGTAAGGAGGTATATAAAAATAGATATGTATGTACGATCTCCAAGTCCCCGATACACCAGACCCAACTTTTCCCTTGAAGTTTTCACACGGCAGAGCCTCTGATTTTTGTATCGCGCGCATAACTATCCGCTTCTATTTCCGATGATACCAGGTACAATGGTACTAGCTACCACGCGGGGGGCTGCATATTGGCTGTGGTGCTTAGCTAACCTACAGGTTGCAAATAAATAAACCCCTAGAGAAACAACCCGGGAGGTACTTCTTCCTCCTTCGCGCCCTCTTGCCTTCGTGCCCTTAGAGGGAGGCTTGCGGCTAGCGGCAGGGGAGGAGGGAATTAAAAAAAGAAAAGAAAACGACACCGGTTGTGCATGACACACATGACAGACAGGGTCCGACCCAGCCAACGAACGATCTACGATACGGGGTAGGTAGAATACGACTTCCGTTGTTGGAAGTATATATATTAACTCCCTACTACGTTCATCATGCGTTGGTAGGCTGGAGAGAGCTGTCTACTTACCCCGCGTGACAGACAACTAACCAAGACGTCTCCGAACCCTTCCGCCCCTTTTACTCGTCATCAGATCTATGGTAATAATAGTAGTAATAGAGAGCATGTGATGGGAGGTGAATATTAAACCCAGGGAAAACGGGCAAGGGCTGGCGAAGTCATCCGGGAGGAAAGCTGTAAATGGACGAGATGCATAATTAGCGAGATGGGTAGCTCAAGTTCCTTACTGATCTCCTACTTTTCTAACCTAGATACTCATATCACGAGCCACCAAATTATAGCTGGAGGAGGGGATAAAATGGAAGCTTAATTGTTGACAGAGCCTAACGACTTAGGTATAAGATACGGCCTAGGTAGGTAGTATAATACTGTTACTGCGCACTGCCGCTTTGAAGGCTCAAAGACAAGAAATCGGAGTCCAGCAGCGAGTAAAACACGATGGGCCAAACGGATGGTTCAGACCCCTTTTCTGATTCGCTCGCTCTCCACGGGGAAACTGAGACCTAACAGCAGTTGGTTGACCCATCTACTACCCAACCGGACTGGGAGGCCTATGATATTCGATATCTGCGGTTTGAAGGTGGGTAGTTAGGTTATAACCACAAATATGCATATAGGTTACCATACAGGTGTATATATTCAAGTCTCTTCTTTTCCATATCGGTTATGCGGAGAGTTTCTTGCTAGATGAACATAAAGTTAAGGATGATATCTCTCATTTGCGCCGTGTTAAATAGCTAGTTAAAATAAAACAAGACAAGAAAAGATGAATATCAGTAGTAACAGACTCCCTATCATGAATTTGCGTAAAACAAAACAGCTTCTTCCAAAAGTCCAAATCAACATCCACACCCCTCTCTTTCCCTCATCCCCCCTTCAGCCTCGCCACGTGTCAGTGACATTACTTACATACACACATACATACATAACACACATACGCCATTCCAAACGTACATTCATTCATCGGTTCGTCCATACATACGTGCCCAAATATCGCATGTACGCACGTACATACTACCATCTACGCACAAAACACGCGCATGCATGAGCACACACGAGAGATAAGAAACCCAGGTAGGTGACAGCCTATTAGAGATGACGCGCACATCCGAACACCACTCGCCCGCGCCCAACCAACTCCATCCCACACGTCGTACTTATTGAGTGAGGGGTTCAGACAGAAAAGAAAATCGATGCAACGTTCAAGAGATGGTGGGTAGGTCAGGTAGCTGGATAGGTTGGTTGGATGGGAAGAGAGAACGAGACAGAGAGATACGATATACGTAGGCTAGGTAGGTAGGTAGGTAGGTAGGTATATAAATGTATAACCCTCCATCGCTTCTCCATCCTACCCATCCATTCACCTATCCACTTGCCCACCTAGTTGAGAAACGAGTGATTTGGGTAATTCGAGAAGAAAAATAAAAAGAAAAGGACCGGAATTGGGTTAGATGCGAAAATGATAAGAGAGGGTAACCGTTCACCCTGAACCGCCACAAAAGAACTTTCCGATAGCGAAACCCTTCGACCTGGACTTGGATCCGGAAGACGACGAAAACCGACCGAATGACCGACGTGGAATGTGGGAATGCGAATACGATGATAGCCCTGCTGGCGCCACTGAGACTCCTGTCTTATATCCGTTGTCTTTGGTTGCAATTTAGGCTCCTGTCAGTTTTCTCCACCAGCTACTTCGAGGCGTCTCTGTGAAAAATGAATCCCGGGCTCCCTTCTCACCTCCGCTGCCGTCGGAATTGCCGCGGCGGTCTCTGCGTTCTCGCTCTTCGCGGCGCGCCCGTCGGCGTCGCTGGTCGTCTTCTACTTCGGCTTCGGCCTCGCCGTACTTAGCAGCTCGTCTTCGGGCCCGACGTTCCGCGCGGCGGGCCTCTTCATCGTCTGTTCCTTGGGGTGCCTCTGCAGCATGTTCGTCAGGGGGTGGGGGTCCAGCGTCCGAATGTTCTTTTACCCACGAGCTCGTACCTGAGTGTGGCCAGGCCACGTTCTTCCTGGGCTCGTCAACTGTATGCCTGGAAGTCCTTTCTTGGGTGTACCCATATTCATCAACGACAGGTGCGGATCGTCGGTAACTGGATTTCTCTTCTGGGCGCCTAGCCTCACGTCTCCGTCTGCGTTCCTCGTCCTCTGAAGCGTCCATGTAACGCGAACGACGTCGCTCGTGACGAGCAGCTCGACGAGCTTCTTCCTCGGCTTCCGCGTAGCCAACAGCAGGGGCAGATTCTCTTTCCATCCGGCGAAGTCGGCGTCTTTCTGCCCTTTCGGCTTCTCTCGCTTCGGCTTCCTCAATGGCGCGACGCTCAGCCTCGCGAGCTGCCCTCCTTTCCGCTCGTCTGGCTTCGCGCTCCTCTTGCCTCCGTGCCTCGGCTTCTTCCTCTTGCCTTCGACGCCTGTCGCGTTTAGCATCATCCTTTGCCCGGCGAGCATCTTCAGCGGCCTTTTCCTCTTCTTTTCTTGCTCGGCGGGCGGCACGACGTGCTTCACGCTCTGCATCCGCGTCGGGTTCGATAATACCGCTTTGTCGGTAGGCATGCTTCACTCTCTTTTCAGGCCGTCTTTCTTCATCTGTAGTATGATAAGCGCCCTGACGAGTTGTTCCAGAACGGGAAACCCTATGGTCACGAGTTTCGTCTTCCGCAACATGGTCATAAAACGTGTTATGGCGACGAAGGTCGGGGTGACCTGGCTCCCTATTACTGGGCCTTCTGTCATCGCCTACGGGGTGACCCGGGTACGTGTTGCGATGGCGAGGTGTGGGTCTAGCGCCGGTCCGATCATCAAGATTCCTCTCGCCATCGGGTGCGTAGTCATTGTATGTACCCTGACGGGGTTGTTCGGGACGCACAGGGCGAACGGGACGGAGGTCAGCATAGGGGGGTTGTTGGTTCGAAGAC